GAAGAGAATTCCAGAAACAGGCAGTTGCTTGTGTTGGTTCAGTGTCAGGGCTAAGTTTTTGGGATTCTCTTAGCCCAAGTTGATTCTCTTAGTCTCAAAATGGCTGCCCCAGGACCAGTCCTCAAGCCTACCTTCCAGGCAGAAAGATGAGGGAAGAGACAGAGGTCAGTCCTTTAAAGAGCATTCTAGAAGCCCCACGCAAAGATTTCCATTTCTAGCTCACTGGCCATTCCCATGTGTAGGGAAATCTGTGAACCATACCTCACCACCCCTTAACAATAGAGGGGCTCTGTTGTTAAGGAGGAAGGGGAGAGTGGTTGCTGGATGGTGTTTAAATCTTGCATATTCTTCACAATTCTGTGGGCCAACAAATGCATCTTTTTCCAAGCTGGCTTGAATTGGGTTTCTGTCACCTGCCACCAGGGAACCCCTGATCAGCAGCAGATAACCTATGTCAGAGACCACCCTGCCTCCTCTGGCTTTCAGTTCAGGATTTCGCTCACAAATCCCCTCGCTGCTTTGAGCAGAAACTTTTGGCATCAATTTCACCCTTACTCATGATTGGATTCACAGCAGTCTCTAATTTCCCAGCCGACTCATTTCCCGCCCTGGTAGAAGGTCTAAATTGGGCCCTGTTCCCAGCAAGAGTGAGGCTGGGGGAACTGCACAATGTCACAGGCAGGTTCATTAGAGAAGAGCCCAGGAAACAAGAGTGCAGACCTGGAGGGCCAGCTCACCCAATCCCCCATTTGGGAGATACATAAAAACTGAGACCCAGAGAAGGGACTTCAATTTGCCCAAGGTCACAAAACTGTCTCCACACCCTTATACTGACCCTGGGTGGAAGCCCCAAGAGGCTTGGATAGGGAGGTCCAAGGTGCCTGACCAGCCTTGAGGCCCCAGGGGATACCTACTCACCCAGCAGGAGCTCTGAGAGCCCTCCCGCTGGAAGGACTTAGAGAAAAAGGGAGAGAATGAAATGACTCCCCCGTGACTAGCTGGCAGTTGCCATTGATAGCTTGCCTGGGGATTGGCAGGACTCAGTGCTGGGCCTCCTGCCCGGCTCCCTGAAGGGTAGGAAATGAGTCGGCATGCAAATCGGGAGTCCACTGTTATCCCAGGCATGAGTAAGGGCAAAACAGCTGCCAAAACAAGGTTGCTTCTGCTCAAAGTAGCAAGGAAGTTTGTGAGGGAAGCCTACACTGAGAGACGAGAGCCGGGACTCCTTACTTACCTCACTGTTGTCTGGCTCTGTGACCTTCAACAACCTGCTTAACCTTCTGGGGCTTGGAAATTCCACACATCACCTCGGACAGCTGTGTTTCTTTGCTTGTTCATTCATTCATCCAATGAACATTTCTTAGCATCTGCTTCCTTAGGAAGGGACATATCGTGGGAACAGTTAAGGCTTTGGAGTCAGAGACTTGAATTCAAAGTTAAGTGATTTTGGGCAAGTCATTTAACCTCTGTGTGCCTCAGTTTCCTCATCTGCAAAATGGGGGTAAGAATACTTCCTTCACATGGTGGATTTAAGAATTAAGTTAAACTAGACAATGTAAGAGTCTCTAGTAAGTGTCAAACACAGCAGTTGTCAGTAGTCTGATGATGGTGATGATGAGGATGGTGATGATGGTAATAATGATCCATAAAGCCCAAGCCAGTGCCTAAAGCATAAAAGATGTTCAAGAAGTTGTAGCTACTGACTGGGCTTGGTGGCTCACACCTGTAACCCCAGCACTTTGGGAGGCCGAGGCAGGTGAATCACTTGAGGCCAGGAGTTTGAGACCAGCCTGGCCAAAATGGAGAAACCCCATCTCTACTGAAAATTTAAAAATTAGCTGGAAACAGTGGTGCATACCTGTAATTTCAGCTGCTCCAGAGGCTGAGGCAGGAGAATCGCTTGAACCTGAAAGGTGGAGGTTGCAGTGAGCCGAGATTGTGGCACTGCATTCCAGCCTGGGCAACAAGAGTGAAACTCCGTCTCAAAAAAAAAAACAAAAAAACAAAACAAACAAACAAAAAACAAGAAAGAAAGAAAGAAAAGAAAAGAAAGAAAAAAAAAGAAGTTGTAGCTATGGTTACTGTGTTACTGTTGATGTTAACAATCATAACACAACAAAGTGCTTAACATGCTTCCTGATGTAGCAGATGCTCAAGACGTGGTGGCTATTGATGCCTTTATTTCAGTGATGGCATCATGACCTGCCCAGTGCCCAACACCGAGTTGATGCTCAATGCATGTGAGTTTCCTTCCCTTCAGCAGAGGCCTCAGAGCACCCTAACCTTTGCAAAGGGTCCATTGACATCTAGAATGGAGATAGATACCCTTGGGTACCCACAGCAGGGTGCGTGTGAATCCCAGGGTCCCATGGAGGCTTCCCCTCCAGGGTAGTTCACAACCCAGCTCTCTCTCACAGTTGTTGCTGGAGGAGACACATTTTTCCAGCAAACCATAAGCCTGGTACCAGACCAGCCACTATTCCCCCACCCCCACTCCATGTTTCCCAGCCCAGGATCAAGCTGGATTCTGCTCTCCCTGCCTAACTTTTATATTCCCAGCTACCTATAACCCTGGCTGAAAGCAGCCTGTGTCTGAGGCTAAATGGGTGGTGAGAAATCTGGCCTCCCAATCACATGGGAAGCCCCAGTGACCCCTGGCACCCATCAGAGCAACTCATCTTCCAAAGCATCCCTCTAGCTTTTTTTCTGTGTGCCTGGCTCTCTCTTGAGCATCTGTAGCTCATCTCTGGTCTGGAGCTCTGGCCATGTGGTTCAGGGAGAGGTCATTTCATCTATCCAGATAGCTCTGTTTTGTAATCACCTGGACCATAGAGTCCTAGTCTGCTGGTGGCCCCAATGTGCTGTGCTTCTCTTTCAAACTCTCACTAGTACTAAGGGGGAAGGTGGCCCGAACTGTCTGCAGGGAAGTGGAGAAGATGAGGAGGAATGTCCAATGGCATGGAGACAGGGAGGAGGAGGGTGCTGTGCTGTCTGCAGAGTGCAGAGAGTGGGATGGGAGAACCAGAAGCCACTGCAATATGGTGAGGGGCAGGAGCTGATGCTGGAATCTCCCATCTGCCACTTCCTAGCTGTGTACCCTTGGGCAAGTTACTTAACCTCTCTGAGTTTTGATTTATTCCTCTGTAAAAGACAGAAAATAAGTCCCACTGTAGAGTCATTGTCAGGACGGAGAAACCGTTTGAGGAGCTCCAACAGCACAGTGCCTGGCATGCAATTGCTGTGTCTGTCTTCCTTTTACCTCTGCTAAACTCTGATCCCTGGACTGCAGAAGCCTAAAAGATCCAAATCCATTGCTCCCTTGCTTTCCCCAGGGTTTACCATTCAGAAAAGAGATCAACTTTAGGAAGACAGCCTTGGCTTCAAGTTCAGCTGACTGGCAGTTGACTCTCACCTAAACTGCCTGATTTTTAAAATGTTTCTATTTTTTGAGATAGGATCTTGCTTTGTTGCCCAAGCTGGTGTGCAGTGGTACAATCCCGGCTAACTGCAGCCTCCAACTCCCAGGCTCCAGCAATCCTCCCATCTCAGCTTCCCGAGTAGCTGGAACTACAGGTGCTCGAAACCATGCCTGGCTAATATTTTTATTTTCATTTTTGTAGGACAGGGTATCCCCATGTTGCCCACGCTGGTTGAACTGCTGGGCTCTAGCAATCCTCCTGCCTGGGCCTCCCAAAGTGCTGGAACTACAGGGGGCAGGCCACCACGCCTGGCTCTAAATTGCCTGATTTAGAGCTGGTCTCTGTCCAGGGCAGCGGCAGTCCCAGCTTGAGCATGCATGGCACAGAACCTCTGGCTCATCAGAAGGGGGGACGGGAGAGAGGCTGGCTAGAGGATCACAGGAGAGAATGTGTCTGAGGTCCAGGCCTGATGCAGGGACCTCCTGCCAGCTCTGGTGAGATACAGCCTCCAAAGTGCTTTGTGGCAACACCAGGGCATGGCCTAGGTGAAGGCCAACAGGCCCTCCCCACAGGGCTGGAACAGGAGGGGAGAGAAGTGGTGACCCAAGAGGCCCCCAGGAGGCTCAACAATCACAGAAATTTCTGGGATTTCTGTGTCCCAGAAATCACAGAGGGGCGTGGTGAGCAGAGCAGGAGCCGCTGCTGCCACCAAGGGGCGAGAGCCTAGGGAATCCTGCTTGCTGCCCTCACAGCGCCCCCTTGCGGCCGGGTGGCTGCCAGAGCTGCTGGGCACCGCAGAGGGCTAGAAGTCCCCGTTCCCACGACACTCAGAAGATGAACGCACTGCGGGTGCGTGTGTGTGCGTGTAAATCGGGGAGGGGGACTTGATTTAACGTTTACTCCCAATCCTCAGGTTTGATGTTCCCGGCTCTCCTTAGGGACCCCACTAGCCTCGAGCTCTTCACAGGAAGGGTGGTATCTAGCGTGTTCACTGTGGTTCCCCAGGGTTCAGCACGCAGCCTCGAATGCTCAGGAATGAATGGATGAATGACTGAATAAATGATGAAAGAGGACAGCTTTCAGGGACAGCCTGCCAGGTGTGGGAAGAGAAACGAACCTGAGAATTCCGCCATCCCCCAGGTCAGAAGTTACAGCTTCTCAGGATGCTACAGGCTGCTCCGTGTAGGGCGCCTCCCCGCTCTGCTACCTACAAGCTGGGTGACCTCCGGCTCTTCATTTACCCTCTCTGAGCCTTGTGACACCATCTAAAAAAAGAGACCGTAAGACTATCTAGAAGGAGGTTGTTTTTCTGTCTTTTTAATTAAACACATGAGGCGGGTGAAAGGGCATCACGTGGTCAGCGCTCACCACACGGACATTTCCTTGGCCAGGCGGGGTTGGGAGGGCAGAGGGTCCCCTCCCCCAGCACCCTAACCGGCGTCCTCTTTCTGTCGCAGCGCCCTGCCAGCTCTCCAAGCCCGTCGTGCTGTGCTGGCTGCTGCTTGCTGGCCCACGGCCAGACCCAAACCAGAGACGCCCGCTCCGGCCAGCGGCAGCCACTCGCCTCTTTTGCATTCCCCACGCCGCCCCCTGCTCCCAGCCTCTACTCCTTTCTTTCTTTCTTCAGTGGCTTCTCCGCGTCTCTTTGTGTTCCTTCTAGAAGCCGTTCCAGCCCGCTGGAGAAAAATAAAACAGAAATCTCCTCCTCATCCACCTTCTGTGATGGCAGTACTCACAGCTCCTCCTCTTGGGCCCCCGGACTCTGAGAGCCACCCACACCCACCCTGCGCCCAGCCCCTGCACCCGAAGCTCCCCCAGTGAGGGGCATGGGCATTCAACAGAAGAAAAATATCACTGACTGAGGAAGCAGAGCTCAGGGAAGCTGGGCTGCACTCCCAGCTCTGCACAGATCTCAGATGGGAGCTGACTCTCTCTGGGCTTGGGTTTCTTTCCCCGAAAAACATGGACCTGTTCACACCACTCTAGGCTCCTGTGCTACTTCAGCTGACATGACAGCAGCCCAGCTTAATAGGGCTGACATCCCAAGAGGACCAGCTTCTCAAACAGTGTCCTGGGCTCAGGCCCCTGATGTACCCTCCTCGTGGAGAAATATCTGATGGAGCATCCCACTGTGAGCACCCCCCTACCTGAGAGTAGGAAAAACCCCATGAGGTCTCATTTAATGACTGCTTACTGTAGGTCAGTCACCGTTCTTTGAGCTTCATGTGAAATATCTCATTTCATCTTCACCACAACTGTTTGAGGTCAACACTATTGTTTCCCCCATTTTACAGATAAGGAAACTGGAACGACCTGTCCAAGATCACATATATATCAGAGGCAGGATTTGAACACAGGTATTTCTAACTTCAAAGCTGAGGCACTTTAATCATCATCCTTTCACAGGAGAGAAAATGCACAAAAGGCAAGAAATAAAACCTCCTCCTAAATCTGATGGATTTTATGCAAAGGGAAAAGTCAGAGCCCTGGAAGGCCCACCATTGTCACTTGAAGAGTAAGTAGTTCTGAGACTTTTGACAAATAAGAGATGGAAAACAGATTCACATAATAAAAAGTATGTGGGGTCGGGGACGGAGGAGACTGGTGTTGCTTAGTCCTGGGTTTGAATACCCGTTCTGCAATTTGCTAGCTGAGTGGCCACAGGTCAGTGATGTTACCTTTCTATGACTTGGGTTGGGGGATTTCTATTCCAGAAGAACTAAGATCCTACTGAATTGACCTTTCCACAGATAGCAACTGTTGACAAAATACAAAAACAAAACAAAACGAAAAAGCAAAACAAGCCCCAAAACCACCGCGAGGCACTGAAGAGTGAATAAAAGCAAGTAGACCCTGGCTGCGAGTCAACACTTGGAAGAAGGGCACGACATGTGGCGAATTATCTGTTTTTCTGGCTTTGATCTTGAAGGTGAACTACAGTCAGCAGAGCACACTTAGGGAACCTGAGGTCTTTCTGGCCTGAAGAATCAGAGTACAAAGTTTAGAGCAACCACAGCCACTGGAAAGTGAAGTGGGGAGTGCCATACAGGAAAGGCTCAGAAAGGGGGTGGCTCCAGATCCCATCTGTAAACTCTGCCCAAATCTCTCACTGCTCCCTGAACCACACATGCATGAAAAATACTTTAGCAGAGGAAAAGAACTGAACTGAGGTTTGAGCTGCCACCAAAGAGCAGAGTTTGAAGTTAATTGCCTAATAAAAAAAAAAAAAGAGAAAGAAATCAACATGTTTCGGAGGACTAACAGAAACCAGAGCCTCTACAGCGTAACATGCACAATGTCCAGGATAGAATCCTGTTCCTGCATAAATATTTTCTCAGAACACAACAGAACTAAACTAGAAATCGGTAACAGCAAGATAGCTGGAAAATCCCAAAATGTTTGGAGATTAAACAACATACTTCTAAGTAACACAGGTCAAAGAAGTAGTCTCAGGAGAAAATTTTAAATATTTTTAATATATGAAAGTGAGGCTGGGCATGGTGCCTCACGCCTATAATCCCAGCAACTTGGGAGGCTGAGGAAGGTGAAGTACTTGAGCCTAGGAGTTCGACACCAGCCTGTGCAATAAAGTGAGACCTATCTCTACAGAAAAATAGAAAAAATTAGCCAAGTGTGGTGGTGCAAGCCTGTAGTCCCAGCTACTCGGGAGGCTGAGCTGGGAGGATCACTTGAGCCTGGGAGTTTGAGATTACTGCAGTGAGCCGTGATCGTGCTGATGTACTCCAGCCTGTGTGACAGAGCATGACATTTTCAAAAAAAAGAAAAAGAAAATGAAAATACAAATCTTCAAAATTTGTTGAATGCCGTGAAAGCAGTGCTTCGAGGGAAATTTATATCATCAAATGCATATATTTTAAAAGAGAAAGATCTAAAATCAATAACCTAAGTTTTTCCGCTTAAAAAACTAGAGAAAAGGGGCAATGTAATCGCGGAACAAGCAGAGGAAAAGGAATAATAAAAATTAGAGCAGAAACCACAAAACTGTAAACAGGCAGTAAATAGAGAAAATAAACAAAATCTAAATCTTGTTCTTTTAAGAGATCAATAAAAATGATGAACCAACATCCAGGCTGACTAGGAAAGACAGAAGACATAAATTACAAATACAGTAGTCCCCTCTTAATGGCAAGGGATGTGTTCCAAGACGCCTGAAGGATACCTAAAATAGGCAGTAGTATCAAACCCTACATATACTATGTCTTTCCCTGTATGTACCTACTTATGACAAAGTTTCATTTATAAATTAGGCATAGTAAGAATAATATATAATAAAACAGAACTAATAATAAAATAAAATTATAACAATATTCTGGAATAAAAATTATGTGAATATGTTCTTTCTTTCTCTCTCTTTTTCTCTCAAAATATCTTATTGTACTGTGCCCATCCTTTTTCTTCTTGTGATGACGTGACATGATAAAATGCCTACACAACGAGATGAAGTGAGGTGAATGGTGAATGACGTAGGTATTGTAACTGCCCAGTAAGCTCACCTTACCTGCTGCCTACAGAGAGCCAATTTATCAAGACAGAGGAATTGCAATAGAGAAAGAGTAATTCACACAGAGCCAGCTGTGCTGGAAACTGGAGTTTTTTATTACTCTAATCAGCCTTCCTGAGCATTCAGGGATCAGAGTTTTTAAGGATAATTTGGTGAGTGGAGAACCAGTGAGTTGGGAGTACTGATTGGTTGGGTTGGAGATGAAATCATAGGGCCGGCAGTGGTGGTTCATGCCTATAATCCCAGCACTTTTGAAGGCTGAGGCGGACTGATTGATTGAGCTCAGAAGTTTGAGACCAGCTTAGGTAACATGGCAAAAGCTCATCCCTACAAACAATACAAAAATTAGCCAGGTGTGTTGGCTCACACCTGTAGTCCCAGCTACTCCAGAGGCTGAGGCGGGAGGATCCCTTTAGCCTGGGAGGTAGAGGTAGCAGTGAGCCGAGATCATGTCACTGCACTCCAGCCTGGGTGACAGAGAGAGACCCTGTCTCAAACAAACAAACAAACAAACAAACAAAAAAACAAAAAAAACCAGAGCCAAAGCTGTCCTCTTACGCTGAGTCAGTTCTTGGGTTGGGGCCGCAAGATCAGATGAGTCAGTTTATCCATCTGGGTGGTGCCAGCTGATCTGCAAAATATCTCAAGCACTGATCTTAGGTGATCTTAGGTTTTACAATGGTGATGATTTCCCCAGTAGTTCTTTGGGGAGGGTCAGAATCTTGTAACCTCCAGCTGCATGACTCCTAAACCATAATCTCTAATCTTTTGGCTAATTTGTTAGTTCTACAAAGGCAGTCTAGTCCCCAGCCAAGAAGAGGCTTTGTTTTGGGAAAAGGCTGTTATCATCTTTGTTTTAAACTGTAAACTAAGTTCCTCCCAAAGTTATTAATAAAGTTATTAATAGTTTGCCCTATGGTCAGGAATGAACAAGGATAGCTTGGAGGTTAAAAGTAAGTTGGAATTGGTTAGGTCAGATCTCTTTCTTTTTTTTTTTTTTTTGAGATGGAGTCTCACTTTGTCACCCAGGCTGGAGTGCAGTGGCAGGATCTCAGCTCACTGCAAATTCAGCCTTCTTGGTTCAAGCGATTCTCCTGCCTCAGTCTTCTGAGTAGCTGGGACTACCGGCATGCACCACAATGCCTAGCTAGTTTTTGTATTTTTACTAGAGATGGGGTTTCACTATGTTGGCCAGGCTGGTCTTGAACCCCTGACCTCAGGTGATTCCCTCACCTCGGCCTCCCAGAGTGCTGGGATTACAGGCATGAGCCACAGCACCCGGCCAGGTCAGATCTCTTTTCACTGCCTCAGTTATAATTTTGCAGTGGCCATTTCAACATTGGCATATATTGTTAGGCCACAATACATCAGAAGGAGGATCATCTACTTCAGTTGATCCTGGATTATCAAACCATGCTGACGTTGATGATAGCATGTCAGGAGCAGATGATGTCGATGACTAACAGGCAGGCGGCATACACAGCATGCATATTTGGACAAAACGGATGATTTACATCCTGGGCTGGATGGAGCAGGACAGCACAAAATTTCATGATGATACTAAAAAGGGTGCATAAATTCATAATTTAAAGCTTATGAATTGTTTATTTCTGGAATTTTCCATTTAATATTTTTAGACTCTTGTTGACCACAGATAACTAAAGTTTACAGCAATTGAGCCACTAACAATGGAAGACTACTGTTTCAGAAGTTAAAGAGGGGTCATCAATACTGATCCCATGGATATTAAAAGGATAATAAAGGAATATCACGAACAACTGTTTCCATAAATTTGATAACCTAGATGAAATAGGCCAATTCTTTGAAAGATATAAACTACCAAAACTCACACAAGAAACAATAATCTGGATAAACCTATATCTATTAAAGAAATTGAGTCAATAATTAATAACCTTCCAAAAATGAAAGCACTAAACGACTATAAAGTTGGAGGACTGACACCCCTGACTCCAAGACTTACTACAAAGCCATAGAAATCAAGACAGTGTGGAACTGACAAAACAACAGACACATGGATCAATGGAACAGAATGAAGAGCCCAGAAATAGACCCACACCAAAAGAACAAAGCAATTCAATGGAGAAAGAATAGCCTTTTAATGATGCTGGAACAACTGGACGTGCATATGCAAAAAAAAAAAAAAAAAAGAATCTATACACAAATCTTACTTCCACAAATACTAACTGAAAATGGATCATACATCTAAATGTACAATGCAAAAATTATAAAAATTCTAGAAGCTAACTGTATTAGTCCGTGTTAAGGCTGCTGATAAAGATAAAAACTGGGCAATTTACAAAAGAAAGAGGTTTAATTGGACTTACAGTTCCACATGGCTGGGGAAGCCTCACCATCATGGCAGAAGGCAAGGAGGAGCAAGTCACATGTTATGTGGATGGTGGCAGGCAAAGAGAGAGAGCTTGTAGGGGGAATTCCTCTTTTAAAAACCATCAGCTCTCATGAGACTTATTCACTATCAGGAGAACAGCACAGGAAAGACTTACCACCATGATTCAATTACCTCCGACTGGGTCCCTCCCACAACACATGGGAATTCAATATGAGATTTAGGTGGGGACACAGCCAAACCATATCATTCTGCTCCTGGCCCCTCCCAAATCTTGCATCTTCACATTTCTTTTTTCTTTTTTTTTTTTTTTTGAGACGGAGTCTCGCTCTGTGGCCCAGGCTGGAGTGCAGTGGCCGGATCTCAGCTCACTGCAAGCTCCGCCTCCCGGGTTTACGCCATTCTCCTGCCTCAGCCTCCCCAGTAGCTGGGACTACAGGCGCCCGCCACCTCGCCTGGCTAGTTTTTTGTATTTTTTAGTAGAAACGGGGTTTCACCGTGTTAGCCAGGATGGTCTCGATCTCCTGACCTCATGATCCGCCCGCCTCGGCCTCCCAAAGTGCTGGGATTACAGGCTTGAGCCACCACACCCAGCCGCATCCTCACATTTCAAAACCAATCATGCCTTCCCAACAGTCCCCCAAAGTCTTAATTCATTTCAGCATTAACTCAGAAGCCCACAGTCCAAAGTTTATTGGAGACAAGTCCCTTCCATCTATAAGCCTGTAAAATCAAAAGCAAGTTACTTACTTCCTAGATACAATGGGGGTACCGGCATTGGGTAAATACAGCCATTCCACATGAAAGCAATTGGCCAAAAGAAAGGTGCTACAGGCCCCCATGGAAGTCTGAAATCCAGCAGGGCAGTCAAATCTCAAAGCTCCAAAATGATCTCCTTTGACTCCATGTCTCACATCTGGGTCACGCTGATGCAAGAGGTGGGTTCCTATGGTCTTGGGCAGTTCTGCTCCTGTGACTTTGCAGGGTATAGTCCCCCTCCTGGCTGCTTTCATGGGCTGGCATTGAGTGTCTGTGGCTTTTCCAGGTGCACAGTGAAAGCTGTCAGTGGATCTATCATTCTGGGGTCTGGAGGATGGTGACCCTTTTCTCACAGCTCCACTATGCAGTGCCCCAGTAGGGACTCTATGTGGGGGCTCTGACCCCACATTTCCCTTCTGCACTGCCCTAGCAGAGGTTCTCTATGAGGACCTTGCCCTTACAAACTTTTGCATGGACATCCAGGCATTTTCCATACATCCTCTGAAATCTAGGGGGAGGCTGACAAACCTCAATTCTTGACTTTCTGTGTACCCACAGGTTCTATACCACGTGGAAGCTGCCAAGGCTTGGGGCTTCCACCCTCTGACGCATCAGCCGGAGCTGTACCTTGGCCCCTTTTAGTCACAGCTGGAGTGGCTGGGATGCGGTGCGCCAAGTCCCTGGACTGCACACAGCAGAGGGACCCTGGGCCCAGCCAACAAAACCATTTTTTCTTCTGGGCCTGTGATGGGAGGGGCTGCCATGAAGGTCTCTGATGCTCTGGAGACATTTTCTCTATTGTTTTCATGGTTAACATTTGGCTCCTTGTTACTTATGCAAATTTCTGCAGCCAGCTTGAAATTCTCCTCAGAAAATGGGATTTTCTTTTCTATCACATTGTCAGGCTGCAAATTTTCTGAACATTTATTCTCTGCTTCCCTTTTAAAACTGAACACCTTTAACAGCACCCAAGTCACCTCTTGAATGTTTTGCTACTTAGAAATTTCTTCTGCTTGATACCCTCAATAATCTCCCTCAAGTTCAAAGTTCCACAAATCTCTAGGGCAAGGGCAAAATGCCACCAGTCTCTTTGCTAAAACATAACAAGAATCACCTTTGCTCCAGTTCCCAACAAGTTCCTCATCTCCATCTGAAACCACCGCAGCCTGGATTTCATTGTGCATATCATTATCAGCATTTTGTTGATGCCATTCTACAAGTCCCTAGGGAGTTCCAAACTTTTCCTGTCTTCTTCTGAGCCCTCCAAACTGTTCCAACCTCTGCCTGCTACCAAGTTCCAAAGTAGCTTCCACATTTTCAGGTATCTTTTCAGCAGCACCCCACTCTACTGGTACCAATTTACTGTATTAGTCTGTTTTCATGCTGCTGATAAGGACATACCTGAGACTGAGCAATTTACAAAAGAAAAAGTTTTCATTGGACTTACAGTTCCATGTGGCTGAGGAAGGCAAGGAGGAGCAAGTCACATCCTACATGGATAGTGGTAAGCAAAGAGAAGAGATCCTGTGCAGGGGAATTCCTCTTTTAAAAGCCATAAGATCTTATGAGATTTATTCACTATCATGAGAATAGCATGGGAAAGACTTGCCCCCATGATTTCATTACCTCCCACTGGATCCCTCCCACAACATGTGGGAATTCAAGATGAGATTTGGGTTGGAATACAGCCAAACCATATCAATAATGTAAGAGAAAAATCTGATAAATCTTGGTTTTGGTGATGAGCTTTTAAATATAACATCAAAAGTATGATCTATGGAGGCTGGGTGTGGTGGCTCATGCCGGTAATTCCAACACTTTGGGAGGTTCTGGTGGGTGAATCACTTGAGGCCAGGAGTTCAAGACTAGCCTTGCAACACAGTGAAACCCCATATCTACTAAAAATAGAAAAAATTAGCTGGGTCTGGTGGTGCACGCCTATAATTCCAGCTACTCGGGAGGCTGAGGTATGAGAGTCACTTGAACGGGGAAACAAAGGTTGTAGTGAGCCAAGATCACACCACTGCACTCTAGCCTGGGCAACAGAGTAAAATTCTGTCTCAAACAAACAAACAAAGTATGATCTATGAAAAAAAAAATTCACAAATTGTACTTTATTAAAATTATAGCCTTCTGATCTGTGGCTAAATGAAAAGATAGAAAATCTCAGCAAAGAAATAGAATTTTTTTTGGGATGGAGTCTCCTTCTGTTGCCCAGGCTGGAGTGCAGTGGCAGTATCTTGGCTCACTGCAACCTCTGCCCCCTGGGTTCAAGCAGTTTTCCTACCTCAGCCTCCTAAGTAGCTGAGATTACAGGCACCCATCACCATGCCTGGCGAGTTACTATATTTTTAGGGAGGATGGGGTTTCATCATGTTGGCCAGGCTGGAGAAATTATTTTTTTAAAGAACCAAATTGTAGTAATGGAGAGGTATAGGGAGGAACAAATAGAAATGTGAGAACAGAAATATACAATATCCTTGGTGTCTCAGTTCAGGAGGAAAAAATTCACTAGATGGGTTGAACAACAGAATGGAGGTGAACTCAAAGATAGATTAATAGGAATTACATAATCTGAAGAACACAGAGAAAAAATGTTAAAAACAATTAAATCAAACAATGTTTCAGGGACCTGTAGGTCCTGAGACCAAAAAATCAAAAGGACATTATTATATGGCCTGACATACATGTAACTGGAGTCCTAGAAGGAGAGAAATGAGAATGAGGCAGAATAAAATACTTGAAGGAAAAAATGGTCAAATACTTCCTAAATTTGATAAAGATATAAATTTCAAATTTCAAGAAGATAACCAAACCCCAACCAGGATAAAATTTTTTTAAATGACCAGACACAGTAGCTCACACCTGTGTAACCCCAGCACTTTGGGAGGCTGAGGTGGAAGGATCATTTGAGGCCAGGAGTTTGAGACGAGCCTGGCCAAAAACATAGTAAGACCTCTGTCTGTACAAAAAAAATTTAAAAAAGGAAGAAAGAAAACTATGCCAAGAAATATCAAGTCAAAGCAATATCTGAAAACCAAAGATAAAGATAAAATGTTGAGGCTGGTCATAGTGGCTCATGCCTATAATCCCAGCTACTTGAGAGGCTGAGGCATGAGAATTGCTTGGACCTGGAAGGCAGAGGTTGCAGTGAGCTGAGATCATGCCACTGCACTGCAGCCTGGGTAACAGAGTGAGATTCTGTCTCAAAACAAATAAATAAATAAAAATAAAAAGAGAAAATGTTGAAAGTAGACAGCGTAGCCAGGCACGATGGCTCATGCCTGTAATCCCAGCACTTTGGGAGGCTCAGGTGGGCAGATCACCTGAGGCCAGGAGTTTGAGACCAGCCTGACCAACATGGTGAAACCCTCTACTAAAAACATAAAATTAGCCAGGCGTGGTGGCCCATGCCTGTAATCTCAGCTACTCAGGAGGCTGAGGTAGGAGAATCGCTTGAACCCAGGAGGCGGAGGTTGCAGTGAGCTGAGATTGCACCATTGCACTCCAGACTTGGCAAAAGAGTGAAACTGTGTCTCAAAAAAAGAAAGAAAGAAAGAAAGAAAGTAGTGTAAAACAACACACTACATAGGTGGCACTAGTAATTTGCTGGACTGCTGACTTTTCATTCAAAAACTATGAGTCAGAAGATAGTGGAACAACCTTTTTAAATGATGAATGAAATTCAGTATTTCCATATAAAATTCTATATCCAGTGAAATAATCATTCCTTCAGGAATGAAAATTAAATAAAGACATTAGAGGGAAAAAAGCAAAGAGAATGCATTTTCTGCAGACCTGCATTATAAGACATGCCAAAGGGAGTTCTTCAGGTGGAAGGGAAATGATACCATGTGAAAATTTTCGGAAAGGAATGAAAAGTATAGAAAATGGTAAATATCTGGGTAACTATATAAGATTATTTTATTTTTAATTTCTTTAAAGAGATATGATTGTTTTAAAGAAAAAAATTAACAAAAAATACAAAAATTAGCCAGGCATGGTGGCACATACCCATGCTGCTTGGGAGGCTGCTTGGGAGCCTGAGGTGGGAGGATTGCTTGAGCCTGGGAGGTTGAGTCTGCAGTAAGCTGTGATTGCACCACTGCACTCCAGCCTGGGTGACAGAGTGAGACCTTTTTTCAAAAAAAAAAAAGAAAGAAAGAAAGAAAAAACTATAATATTGTCTTGGAGAGTTTATGGAGTATGTAGAAATAACACATCTGACAATTGTAGCATAAAGGA